ATTATGTCATGCTAAATTAAGTTTCATTCTAAGTAAATACAAGACTCTACTAATATCCAAACACCTTAATTTGTTCTACTTCTTTTTTTACCCACAAGCCCTAATTTTACAATGTTTAAATTCATTGCAGTAAATATCTTATGAAACTTTATACAGGATAAAAGTACGATTAAGCTTGAGAGGATTTATAATTTNAGATATTTCATATATTAGTTTTTAATGCTATAGATTAATTAAATAGTCTAAAACGATTTTTCATGGTCAGAAAATTTTTAAGGTTCCTTAATTAAAATATAAATTTATTTTTTCATAATTTTCTTGTCACTCTTTTGTAAAATAATTATCTACTATAGTTATGATTCAGTTAATTAAAAATAGTAAATGATTTAAATATTTTGAAATTATTACTGAATGGCAAATATGCTACATTAATTATTATAATTAGCTATACATAAAATTATTTCCAGCCAAAACTGTTATTAGGAATTATTATCACATATTATAAGTAATCTAAAAAAAAACATTTATCTTTTACTTACAGCTGGTACAATGGTGCACCCTAAGCAAAAGGATTAACTAATTTTAATGCAACCATTTTTTACCATAAAGGGTGCCATCTTAATCAAAAGAAAGAATTTATAAAAAGAAGCAATATATTAATGAAATGACATCTCTGCCTGTCTCGCTAAAATGTTTTACTCTTAATGCATGGTCTCATTCCAGGAGATAAAAGAACGAATTGTTGTTTCGAATATTTTTGTAAGACTAAAAAATTGTTTCTATCAACTATAATAATACTGAAATTTGAGGAATTTTTACTAAAATCTTGTACCATAGTAAAATTTAAGCAGTTTTCAAGGACCAAGGGAACCCTGTAAATAATGTTGAATTGGAGCTTCAATAATTAAAAAGAGATTATTGCATAAAACGGAGTTTTTTTTTTATTGGTGTTTATTTAAAATTGAAACAGTTTTTAAAATTTAACAGTTTCGTTTACTGGAGATTCGATTGCCATCTGAATAATAATAAAAAATAGAATCAATTTGAAGTGAATATGAGCATCTAACAACTTATTTATGTCAACAAAAAAAATATTACAGGGGAAAAGTTAATTGATATTCTAAATACATAATTTATTAATATAAAGTTTTTTTCCAGTTAGAATTCTGTAAAATGATGCACAAAGTTTTGATGAGATAGAATCTTAACTAAACATTCTCTCTTTAAAAAAAACAAAAAACTTTTTGTAAAAATTATACGCCTCGCAAAAAAAAGCGGGTGCTGCTTGCAAGATATATTATTAAAAGGTACATTAACTCTGCAGTGTGAGAACAGAAAATTAGTTAAAAAACGTGCATATAAACACAGTAATTGTTGAGCAAAAACCAAACACAATAGCTTTATTATATACAGCTTAAAGATGACATACAAATACATTCTAAAAATATTGAGTTGCCCTTCAAAAGGTAACACTGAAGTTTTAAACATGCTCTTCGTTCAAAAATTAAACAAATTTGAATACACTGCTGATTGAACCAATTTTCACCACCTAGGACAGACAAGATGCTTAATAATAATTAAATATTTTTAATCACTTAAATCTTTTAATTTTTTTTATTCTTAACTTGAAAGGAAGAAAGGTTTATATTCTATATATATTTTATGCCTTACATTACTTGGTTTTATAAAATTCTTAACCATGAATGGCACACTTGTTCAAATTTATTAAAAAAGGTAAAGAATGTTACGGATTTTATAAAATCCTTAGGCACTTATTGTTGGTTAAAATGGCCATGACACTATACAAAAGAACACCATTTATAAATCTTCTCATACAAGAATTAAAATGCAAAAATATTAATGAACATTTTCTTTATACTATACCCCTCTAGGATTGTTCAACAAAATTTCTTAATCTTTCAAACTGTTATATTGGCTCTACCATCCACAGAGCAATCGATAGAACCTGAAATTAATGTTAAACACTTACAAAATATTTAAAACGATTATGAAAAACTGCTTCTACTACAGCAGTTTCGTGTCTTTATAAATATAGGAGAGAAAAAAACCCCAGCATTATAAAAATAATATCTAAAGACAATAGGGAGTGTATTAACAAATTAAAGTATATTATATTCTGAAAACATAAAATAAAAGAAATGAAATTATTTTGATTCATTAATAATTACAAATCAGAATTTGTGTTTGGTAGTTGAATGCACATTCGTGAAGTTTTTGGTATATATACAAAAGCTGAGAGTTAAATGAACAGGGAGAAATATGGTTCCCATTGAAACGGGAGCTGAAAAGGTATAAACATTGAAAAGATTGTTAGAAAATCACATTCTTTCTTAACAAATTTAGCTATCCTATTTCAATTTGAAAAGCGTAACAGAAAATACATATATTCTCAAGAACCTTCTCATAATTTATTCAAGATATAACAACTAAAAAACAAAATTCTTTTTATTCATAGAAAACCCTTTTATTAAATAACCACTGAGTTCTATTATCTAGAAGGATAACGGCATAGCCAATTTATGTGAAATTAGACAAGGTACTTACCAATATGTAGAACAGTCACTCTTTTATTTTCTCCATTAAACATTTAATTTTAAATCCTGGAAAGTTTTGAAGCTGCACATTGCGACCCAGAATTACATCAGGAAGATGGGGTTTCAAATAATTCAACTTTTAATCCTGGATTACTGAAGCCTTAACTACCTAAATGAAAAAAATTAATTATTTAGAAGAAATACTATAACATGCTTAAACAAATAACTGAGTGTGATAACTAATTAAATTCTTTCAGTTTATTTGTATTTCTTTTACATTCATTAAAATTATTTAAATGTAGTTAATTATAAAACATATTTTCGATTTTATGCATACAATATTACATGTATTATACAATACTGAGTTATAAATTAGACCACATGTTTTCTGTAAGTGAATGCATGCCTGCAACCTGAACACATTTTACTGTAACAGTCTAAATTGTGATATCCCAAGATACAACACAGGAGATTTATATACTATAATATGTAGCAGAATTATAGTATAACTATATACTATAACTGCACACTTACACGTTTATACATAATGTTAACAATCAAGCGACTACACTATTAAAAACAAAAAACATGAGTTAAAATAAATATATGAATTGAATAGTACGGAATAGAATATTTAAAATCCAAAACTATAAATTAAACTTTTGAAATTAATAAAACCCTACAAATCTGATAACATGCAAAACTGATAACATGCTTACGGAATTAAATATAATCGTAGTAAGTTTCTTTATATTAGCTATACGTTGTTTATTCAACATTTACACGTGCATAGGAAGAAAAAAAAAACACTTAACTATATCAATAATCGAGCGATTATAATATGTATAAATATAAGATTTAACATGGGATGTAACATACAACAACATAAAAGTTGAATATTTTCAAAACTTATATAAATAGTTAAACTTACCATAAGAGATTTAATAGATTATCCAAGTCTTAAAATGAAGAATTAAGTACTAAAATTAATAAAATCAATGTTTATCACTAGTGAATCAAACACGTGTTGCACTAAACAATGCAAAAGCAAAGAAATGGCTGGCGACTAAAACAGCAAATAATGTAGCCACGAGAATTAAAATAGTAACCTTTTAATCGTTGCCAACATATAAAACAGACCTTCACTTCCTATTAATCTTAGGCGAAAATCTACAAAAATCCTCCCCCAAATAACAAAGTTTACAAGTATTGCCATCCTTAAAAACTAATATTAAAAATAATAAGTGTTGCCACCCTCAAAAAAGTAATAAATTAAAATACAGTCACTCGAAAAAATACTGTAACTGTACTGTGACTGTAGTATTTAAAAAACGAATCTAAATTAAAAACAGAAACCGAAACTAAAAATATATTAGGCTTAAGAAAAAAAGAAATAAGCTCCTCATGACGTTGCAGGCGAAGTTTCGATTTCAGAAGGGCAGAAATAAGCCACTTTCGGTTTATATGTGGGCAGAAATAAGCACTGGTTGACTTTGGGTGATGATGTCACTTCCGTCTCCGTTAGTGTGTGGCCTATAGTGATGGGCAATAACAGGTATTTTCA